CAAGGAATTGTTCTTGTACAGCTTATGCACAATTAGATATCAGAAATGGTGGAAGTGGATGTTTGCTATGGTTTGATGAACTGATGGACATAAGAGAATATGATGAAAAACAAGAACTTTACATAAGAATGGCAGCCTCTGACTCAGGTACACACATTTTGATTTACATCTGTCAGTGGTTTTGAGGCTGAATAAGACTATCTTGTGATTTGTAGCTAATCCTTTTATGTGCTGAAACTTATGGATACATAGGATATGAAGATTTCGATCATCTTTTCAAAAATTACTATATACACAAAGAGATATATACGGAATAGTGAAAATGTTCATTACTGTAGTTTTGGAACGTATTCGGGTTTGAATGTTTTTTAACCATAATCTTCGAATTGTTTTAACCTTATTTCACATGTGAAAAACCTTACTGCTTATTGTATTCAATAACAGAAAGCCTCATGGTCTCTAGATCCAGCTTAAACAACAAGAAAATACTCACTGTGGTGTTGTCAATTTCATCAGCTGCAGTGCTTCTGTCYGCAGTAGCATATGCCTGTAGAAACACAAAAAAGGGACGAGGTAACGCATAGGAGTCATGTTTGTACTTCAAGAATTGAAATAGTAGCCAGCATCATAGCAAATTACATGTTCGTATGAATAGAATTGTTTGGCAAATTCACATAATCAAGTGATAGAACACTCTTTGTAGGAAACAGGAACGACCTTGATAAAAAGAACACCAATCTTCCAATGGAAGATCTTGATGAACTGCCTTTTTTTAGCCTACATGAAATAGTCAAGGCTACAGATAATTTCAGCATCAACAATAAGATTGGAGAAGGTGGCTTTGGTCCTGTTTACAAGGTAACTTATTGATTTTGAATAAAACAACAAAGAATATCAGTATCATAAAGCAAAAACTTTATAATAAACTAGATAGAAATGTTGGTACCATAAAAAGCTAACCTTAATGTTTTAGGGTATGCTGGAAGACGGCCGAGACGTAGCTGTGAAGAGGCTCTCAGATTCTTCCCAACAAGGACTTGCTGAGTTCAAGAATGAAGTCAATTGTATTGCAAAACTTCAGCATCGGAATCTTGTGAAGCTTCTTGGATACTGCATTCATGGAAATGAAATGATTTTGATTTATGAATACATGGCCAACAAAAGTTTGGATTCATTTCTATTTGGTTTGTTCTCTCTAGTGCTTTACTTTCACTCTTTTTGTACTACTGTGGTTAAATTTCTAGGTAAATTCGCACATAGATTAGCTGCAAACATGGACTAAGTAGTTCATATTGGGCAGATGAAACYAGAMGTTCAATGCTTGACTGGCCTCRGCGCTTTCGCATTATCCATGGTATGGCTCGAGGTATTCTTTATCTACATCAAGATTCCCGCCTTCAAATCATCCATAGAGATCTCAAGGCAGGTAATGTTTTGCTGGATGGTGATATGAATCCAAAAATATCCGACTTTGGCCTTGCTCGAATGTTTGTAGGAACGGATGCAATGGCAAAGACGAAGAAGGTGGTTGGAACATAGTAAGAATCTGTAAAACATGGCCCTCTTGTTWGWTGTCAACACTTCTTTCMSAACAAAAGGGGAATATGGTAACAAACAAGAAAGTCTAGTAATAATCTGTATGTTTATTTCTTTGAACTCTGCTGCAGTGGTTACATTTCTCCTGAGTATGCAGTACACGRGCGTTTCTCTGTAAAGTCAGATGTATTTAGCTTCGGCGTYCTTGTGTTAGAGATGGTGAGTGGGAAGAAAAACAGAGGGTTCTCTCATGATGATCATAGTGACAACCTTCTCGGACATGTAAGTTATTCTGGTAGACTAAACCCCRYTATCTCCAAGGAWCTAGAGTATCCTTTRCASCTTTCCCTTTTAGCATACTTATARATATGATYCAGGCGTGGAGACTATATAAAGAAGACAAGTCCATTGAMATCATTTGTGCATCTWTACGCAATTCATGCAATGTCTCGGAAGTACTACGTGCAATACATGTYGGGCTAYTGTGTGTGCAACATCATGCGAAGGATAGGCCAACTATGTTGTCAGTGGTTTTGATGCTGGTTAGTGAGAGTGTGTTGCCTCCACCTAAACAACCAGCTTTTTTCACTGAAGAAAGATACGGTGAACATGACTCTGTTTCATCTTTGGATGAAGACACGATAACGCTATTGTATGCTAGATAGAAAGCATGTCTTTATGTGAGATTTATAAGTGTTGCTTCTGTTGTTTCAGTTTTCCCATTCAATATCCTATTTTTTCCATGGCTTCAGCTCTGTAAATACGTCCAGTTGATAGCTATACGGCAGTACTCAATCCGAACATTTTAATGATATATGGATCAGCGTGTTCAACTCGTTCTTGCACGATATTCTGCACCATAACGAAAGTAAACTTTAGAACTGTGTAATAGAGATGAAAAATTACTTGCTACACAAGCCATTTCCTTTATCTGATGGTTTTTGACAAAACAAAGATTCCAACATATCTTCATATCAAGATTATATTTCACGTTTGCAAATTTCATCAGGTGGGTATAATGTCTGAAGAACTCTTTAWAACAACCATAGCTGCAAATCAATAATCGATTAATAGAGGCTTAATTGTCAAAATCCCCTACTCCATAAGGAGCCATTTACCAACACAAACTTGATAAGCGCCTATCGGTTAAGAGTCATCACCTCAACAACTTTAATGGGTACAATTTTTGGTCATAAAAATAGCATAGTGTAAGTGTATCTTACCCGGTAAGTGCTAACGGGGAAAGAACCATCACACTCACTTGTAGCGTAAGATTCTCAGAAGCAAAATGACACAGTAAGATTGTCGGTAACGACCATCATCTCTTACCCGTAAGTATCTCTTGATGTAACAAGTGTTAGCTCGCCGGTAAGAGGCAGTAAATAGTTACAACACTTGAAGCAGATTGGTCGGGTGGATGTCAACATAAACAGCCTTTGCGTTGTGGGAATGGGGATGGGTTTCGAAAGATTTCACGATTAAATTTCCCAGACACACAACATTCATGGTACAATGTGAGCATGACCTGCAGAAAGAACTGTATTGTACAACTTATGCAAATTTAGATATTAGAAATGGTGAAAGTGGATGTTTGCTATGGTTTGATGAACTGATGGACATTAGAGAGTATGATGAAAAGCAAGAACTTCACATAAGAATGGAAGCCACTACAATAAAATAGGGTTTATAGGACGCCACCAATAAATTAGCGTCATAATAGACCACTTTACAAGACATAATTTATGGAACCAAAAAATAAAGCGTCAAATCTAAAGACATTGTAATATAACAAGTTTGTTAAGACACTCTTTTCAAAAAATAATCATATTAGCTATTTTATAGGACACTATTTGAAAAAATGTCTATAAACATAACTGTCCTATAAAAATATGGGTATATAAGACATTTCTCAAAAGTGTCATATAAAATACTTGATGCGACACTTTGTATAAAAATGTCATAAAAAGTTGTTAAGACGCCCAAAAACGTCCTATAAACTTATTACAATGCCTTTAGGAAGGAGGTGGTCCTATAAATTATATCTTCTAAAACAGTCTATTAAGAAATTTATTTATTGGTAGCGTCCTATAAACCCTATTTTGTTATAGTCTATGTCTGCAATAGTATATGCTCGTAGCAAGACAAAGAGAAGACAAGGCAAGTCATTTTTGTACTTCAAGAATTGAAACATTAGCCGGTATTTTTACAAATTACAAGTCATTTTTTACAGATTCCCTCGCTGATTTTTCGCAGATCAGCGAGGGAATAAGTTTTTGGCCATTCCCTCGCTGATCTTCGACGCAGATACCTTGTATTCTAGTAGTGTTTCTCCTGAGTATGTAGTTACGGCCGTTTCTTTACAATGTCGCATGTATTTAACTTTGGTGTTAATCTTGTGTTGGAGATAGTGAGCGGGAAGAAAAACCGAGGGTTCTCCCATGGAGACCACAATGACAACCTTCTCGGACATGTAAGTTATTATGGTAGATTGAACTTCACAATCTCAACAAGAAACTAGTGTATTATTTAAACCTCTCTTTTCTAGCATATTTATAAATACGAAGTTCGGTTTGCTTCAGGCATGGAGACTCTATAACAAAGACAAATCGATTGAACTCATGAGTTCATCTTTATGCAACTCTGTGAATAGTTGGTCCACAAGGTCCTTGAGTTTTTGACAATGCTCAGCCAATATGCAATACATGTTGGATTACTGTGTGTGCAACATATAGGCCAACGATGTTGTCAGTGGTTTTGATGCTCGTTAGCGAGGGTGTGTTGCCTCCACCTAAACAACCAGCTTTTTTCA